ACCCACACTGCATTGAACTTCTTCTGAGTCCATGGGAGTCCATCCACATTAGTCACACAAACTCGACCCTATAATCTCAAAACTCCATCACCACCTAAGGTAACCTGCTTGGCACCTCCGTGCTGCACCGTGTCTCTAAGGACACACAAATGGGGATCATCATACTACCGATCTCGGATACGCTCCAATAAAGAAGAACGAGCGACTGTGCAAGCTAACACACGGCTGGGCTCAGAAACATCCAACCTCACGAACTGATTGGCCAAAGCCTGAACATCCAGAGCAAGCGGCCTCTCACCAACCGGAATATAAGCAAGACTGCCCATACTGGCTGACTTCCTACTCAAAGCATCGGCCACCATATTTGGCCTTTCCCGGATGATATAAGATGGTGATATCATAGTCTTTCAACAGTTCCAACCACCTCCTCTGCCTCAAGTTTAGCTCCTTCTGCTTGAACAAGTACTTCAGACTCTTGTGATCCGTGAACACCTCACATGCCACGCCATACAGATAATGCCTCCAAATCTTCAACGCNCACTCCCAGTATCCCTAGCCATCTGAAGACGAATCGGCTGAATAAGTCCATCAATGAACCTTCTCACCCTCTCTCTCTCGGTGGGAAGTATGATAAGAGCATGGCGAGCCAAGTTGATGAATCTGGTCTCGTACTAGGTGACTGTCATAGAACCCTGCTGGAGACGCTCGAACTGCCTCCGATAAGCCTCTCTCTTAGTGATGGGGAGAAACTTCTCCAGAAATAACTGAGTAAACTGCTCCCAAGTCAAAGCTGGTGATCTGGCTGGTCTAGCCAAGCAATAATCTCTCCACCAAGTCTTGGCGGATCCAGACAAGCGAAAAGTAGCAAAATCGACCCCATTGGTCTCAACTATCCCCATGTTTCTGAGAACCTCATGACAGCTGTCTAAATAATCCTGGGATCCTCAGAAGATGCACCGCTGAAGGTAGTAGTGAAGAGCTTGGTGAACCTATCCAACCTCCACAAAGCACCGGCAGACATAGCTACTCCATCACTTGCCGGAGCTACCTCACCCGGCTGAACTGCTCCAACTGGCTGAACTGCTGGAGTCTAGAACTGGGGAGCTACCTTCTCCAGAGTGCGAGTAGCAGGAGTCTGGGCCCCTCCTCCAGCCTGAGAGATGGCTGGTGCTACGGGAAGTGAGCCTACCCGGGTGGCACTCTCCATAAGGCCCCCTAGATGGACCAGAGCATCCTGGAGTACTGGGGTAGCAATAAACCCCTCTGGACCTGAGCTGGGCCCACCGGAACTGTTGGGGCCAAAACCTCATCATCAAAGTCAACCTGAGGCTCCGCTGCTGGTGCTGCTGCCCTGGGCTGAGCTCTGCCCCTACCTCGGCGTCTAGCACGGCCTCGACCTCGCTCTCTGCCCCTCGTGGAAGTTGGTGCTGGGGGCTCGGGCTGCTTGTCAGTGGATGAGGAAGCGCGCGTTCTCGGCATCTGCGAGAGAAACAGAATAGAAATTTAATCAGCATTGAGAAACCAAACCGCACGACAGGAAAGAAAAGATGTAAAATTTTCCTAACTCTGTAGCCTCTGGGGATAAATACAGACGTCTCCGTACCAATCGCTCAGACTCTACTAAGCTTGTCCGTGAACTGTGAGACCCATGTAACCTAGAGCTCTGATACCAACTTGTCACTACCCGGATTTCCCACCATCGGGAGTCGTGATGGCGCCTACTAATGTGAGCTAGGCAAGTCAATCCTTTAAGTCTAATTACATCATTAACCAATTATTCCTTTTTAACAAACATAAAGAGATAACGTATAAACAGCGGAAATTTAAATTAAGCAGAAGAAAACAATACAATATCTGAAATCTATATCTATTACAACTACTTAAGCCTCAATCACCCAAAACCTGGTGTCCCGGTGTCACAGACGATCTAAGAGTGCCAAATACAAAGTCTGAAAATAAAAGATACACTGTCTCAAAATCAAAGAGATGAAACAGGAAATAAAGGATAGAGGAAACATCACGGCCTGCGGACGCCTGCAGGTCTACCTTGGATCTCCGCGTGGACTGAAGGTAGCCACCCAATCTACGGTCCAAAGTTAACAGCACTGGGATCTGCACAAAAGAGTGCAGAGTGTAGTATCAGCACAACCGACCCCATGTGCTTGTAAGTGCCTAGCCTAACCTCGGCGAGGTAGTGACAAGGCTAGGACCAGACTACCAAATAAACCTGTGCAATTCAACTATATACAGCGGAAAAGAAGTACAGAAATAAAAAAGTCAAGTATGGGAGGGGTAGCATGCTACAGGGGAGATATCAATTCCAAATAGAAAGACAACAAGTAAGTGAAAGAACCAATACATCTCGGATATCAACAAGAACCAGAAATCAACAAATGCACGGCATAACCCTTCGTGCTTTTACTCTCGTCCTCACCAAAGCAATCATATAATGAAAATGTGCACGACATCAGCCTTCGTGCTTTCACTCTCTTTCCTCACCATATAATCAATACAATCGGCACGGAATGGTACATCGTGCGGGACGACATCACCCTTCGTGCTTTACACTCTTTCCTTACAATCATACACGGCATCACCCTTCGTGATTTATACTCTTTCCTCACAAAACAATACACGGAATCACCCTTCGTGCTTTAACACTCTTCCTCACCCAAACAACAATCACAAATAATAGGGCAAGGGAATAAATGATATTATAACAAGAATTCCGGCAATGGAACAACAATTCAACAATTTAGTCCCGGCAAGGGAACAACATCAATAATCCTCAACATCCCGGCAAAGGAGATAACTAATAAATCAACAATAGCCCGGCAAGGGTGACAACATAATAACCTCTTCCCTTTCTCACTTTTACTTCACAATTCACTTCATAACTTGAGCCAATGCTCTAGAGATTCAACTATCATTTACACTTTCACAATTCGTTACACAACTTGAGCCAACGCTCCTCAATGTTCATAAGTCACAATTCCTTCCACAAACTTTACACAACATATAGAAACCATCACTACGACATGAAAGATACAACAAAGTCATGATAATCATAATATAACGCCCACGGGCATGCTATACACCAACGTATAGATACTCGTCACCATGCTTATACGTCGTACTCAACAATTACCACATAGCAAATAGGACTCAACTCTTAATCCTCAAGCTAAGGTTAGACCAAACACTTACCTCGATGCCACGAACACAATTCACGTCTCAATTATCGCTTTACCCCTCGATTCCACCACCAATTCGCTCGTATCTAGTCATAAGTTACTTAATTACATCAATAAACGCTAAATGAATCAATTCGAATGCATGAAAATGAATTTTCCAATGTTTTACCCAAAAAGTCAAAAATCGCCCTCGGGCTCACATGGTCAAAACCCGAGGATCGAACCAAAATCCGATCACCCATTCCCCCACGAACCAAAATATATAATTTGTTTTGAAATCGGACCTCAAATCGAGGTCCAAATCTCCAATTTTTGAAAAACCTAGGTTCTACCCAAAACACCCAATTTTCCCCATGAAAATCATTGATTTGAAGTTGAAATCATGTTAGAAGATGTTAATGATTGAAGGAATGAGTTAAAATTAACTTACAATCGATTTGGAAGAAGAGTTGTTCTTGAAAAATCGCCCTAGGGAGTTTGTATTTTGAAAAGATGTGAAAATAGGTTGAAATTCGTCTAAGTATAAAAGTTGCAGGTCTGAGATATGGGACTTGCAAACTGTGCGAACCCCGACCTCTGCTATTATGGGAATTGCGAAGACAGGGTAACATTTGCGACCCCAGGCGTCAAATGAGAAACTTCGCATTTGCGAAGCAGGCGTCGCATTTGCGACTGACCTTCCGCATTTGCGAGCCAAGTGGTCGCATTTGCGATCAAGCTGGCCTAAGTCCTATTTTTGCATTTGCGATGGAGGTCTCGCATTTGCGAAGCCTGCAGACCTGTGCACATTTGCTGAAAACCTGCAATTTACCAAGTCCAAAATACACTCCGTGGCCTATCCAAAACTCACCCGAGCCCTCGGGGCTCCAAACCAAATATACACACAACCTCCAAAAATATCCTACAGACTTATTCGTGCAATCAAATCACCAAAATAACATCATCAACATCGAATTAAACCTCAAGATCAATGAAATTTCTCAAAACTTCTTAAACATCAAATTTTGCATTTAAGGTCCGAATCACGTCAAATGGATTCCGTTTCTTACCAAACTTTACCGACAACACATATAAATCATATTGAACCTGTACCGGACTACGAAACCAGAATACGGGCCCGATACCTCAGGTTTCATATAACATTTCACTTTCAAAAACCTTTATATTTTTCAGAAAATAATTTCTTTCAAAAATTCATTTCTCATGCTTGGGACCTCGGAATTCGATTCCAGGTATACGTCCAAGTCCCATATTTTCCTACGGACCCTCTGGGATCGTCAAATTACGGGTTCGGATCCGTTTACCCAAAACGTTGACCGAAGTAAAATTAATTCATTTTATAGTCAAAATTTATAATTTTTCACAGATTTTCACATATAGGCTTTCCGGCTACGCGCCCGGACTGCACATGCAAATTGAGGTGATGCTAGAAGAGGTATCTAAGGCTTCGAAACACAGAATTCATTTTAAAAACAAGTAAGTCATCACAGGCTATCAGTTTTGGCACTATCTTTACATATTAATATTATTTGTACTAATTAAAAAATTTAGAAGAAGTTTATGAATTATACAGATGGTTCAAATAACACAGGATTACATGCTGCGTCAAAATAATTCTCATTAATTGCTTTAATGAGATCAACAACAAAACTACATTTACAAATTTTTATGCCAAAATAGAAAAGCCAACTACCATATGCTCAGTGTCCTACTTAGTTCTTCTACATGAAAGAGAAATTACACTGTTGCATATTAGCTCCCTACATAATGGATTTGAGATTATTCCAACTTCAAGCTGGTCTTCTTCTAACACAGAGGAAGAGAGTAATTAGGAGCTTCTGAAAATCGACATTGTGCATTCTCTGCTGGAAAAATAGCATATCTTGATCTCAAGTTATCACTTGAAGGCAAATGAAAGCACGTTGAAAACAAATGCCGCTTAGAAACCCAGCTTTCGCAATGACTAAAAGGGTTAATGATAACTTTATTACTCATCAGCTCATGATCTTCTGGATGATATTTACCGGACATAACATTCTTAATGAATGGATGATTAAGCAGCATATCTGCAGTCCATCTCCAATTATGATCTTTTTCAAAACACTTGACCAGGAAGTCCTTGCATATATTAGAAGCATTACTCGGAATCACAGGTTCTTCATGTGTAATCTTGAAGTCCAAATCGTCACTATTTTTATGGCACAACCATAACCGTCTCCCTGTGATCATCTCTACAACAATGCAACCAAGTGCCCAAATATCAACGGCTTTACCATGAATCCCATGAGCTACAGATTCTGGGGAAGCATAAAGCAGAGTCCCTCTATGATGACAACACTTCTTGGAGCCTCTATCCCAGTAGGTATGTGTTTCGTTTTCTACCGTTCTCAAAGACAACCCAAAATCAGCCAACTTCAAGCGCACATCCACAATACTATCATATTCGTCATCAACACTAGGAAAAACAAGTATATTACTCGGTTTCAGATCGCAGTGAATGAAACCCTTACGATGAACATGAGAAATCCCAGTCAAAAGCTGAAAAGCATAGTATGGAACCTCTGATTCTTCAACCATCGTGTTAGCTTTAGAGTAGATATTAATCAAATCGTGCAAAGTGCCACCAACGGCATATTCGAGCAAGAGGTTATAAGTATGTTTACCGTTTTCGACACTTACATCTTCTCCAAAGCACTGAACTACATATGGCGACCCTTTCAGCGCATCCAGTATTCTTCCTTCCATTGAAAGCGAAGACGAATCCTTCACTTCTGCAGATTTCACTGCCACAAAAGTAGACGAACCATCTTTTGGTGCGGCAAGAAACACAGTTCCATAAGAACCGACACCCAACGCTTTCATCTTTTTCCAATACATTCTTGATTCTTGATAACTTTTCCTTCTCTGTCTATTTTCACCCTAGCTATATAAACCTATTCTTAACCCTAGCAATGAGAATAAATCAAGGAGGAATGCAAGCTTTAATTATTTGAGTAACTTCTTTCTGATCTTTAGTACGTAACCCTAACACTATTAATAAAAGTAGACGACAGCTTCTCTAGCCACTTAATATGATCATTAGAGACGTTCTTACTTATATATATATAATGCATGCCCAAAGTAATTTAGAATCCTACTAATATATGGATTATGCCTTCATTTTTGTTTGTTTCCATAATGGGTTAATTATTCGCCAAGAAATTAATTAGGGTGCTCTTGTGAAAACTTAAAAATAAAACCTTTGTTTCCTAAATCTATTCAACAACGGCTTTCCAAAACTTATTTTCTTGCAATTTACTTCATCAATGTTTTGACAATTACTTTGATGAGCACGTACGTTCTCAAGGTAACTAACTACATTTCTGTTGTACTCCACGAAAAATTAAAAAATAATAATAAGTCTAAATTCGAAAATGAGTAAATTGAAATTCTAAATTTTAAAAAGGCGAAATACATAAACAGCCCCTTGAAGTTGTGCTCAACGGTCAGATGGACACCTCAATTGACCCATTTACCATTTAGACACTTCAAATGACTATTAAGTGTATCAAGTAAACATTCCAATGGAGCAAATCATATGCGTGAGTTACACTTGCTGGTGATGTGTCAATAAACCAATTAAAGAATGACAAGTGTAATTTATAATTAAATATTGACACGTGTAATTAATAATAAATAACTTACCTTTTCCTTACTTTCCAACTACGACCACTCCGACCCCCCCCCCCCTCAAACCCCCCCCTCCCCCCTCCAAACCGCCCAACCTATTCTTCTTCCTTACGCCCCACACCTCCTTTCAGTGTGATCTTCCCAAAAGTAGAACCCCCAAGCCCCAAGTAGAAAATCATCGCATCTTTCCCATACCTTTCCCCTGTGACCATCGCACCTTTCATATGCCTTTTCTTCTTCATCTTCTTTCAAGCTTTCCCAGAAATTGCTGCAATTCTTTTCCTTCTTTTACTTCTTCTTCTTCCCCAAAATCTGACCTCTTAGCCAAAATATGATGGACAGAGGCACTCCACTCCGAATCTAAAGAAGAATGATTATATCAAAAGTTTTTCGGCTGTCGACTGCTACCTTTCGCCCTTCATTTATTTCTTTCTTAAAAGAATTTCTCTTGAAAAACCCAACTAGTAAAGATCCATAAAAAAAATTATTGGATCTTGGTCTTAATTTTTGCCGTGTAGGAGCCTCAAACATCTTTGTCGCCTGAGGTGATGTCTCTGTTGGTGGCGACGACTGAGGTTATGGTGGTAGAGTTCAGTCATAAAGTTTATGGTGGTAAATTTTATCTCAGACATGATTCTTCTAACTTAATGATGTGAAATTTCATTTATTCAATTAATTATTATGGTAATGCTTGTGATTGATTGTATAAGCAATTGTGATAGTATATATTGGACGAAATTGTGTGCTTATTTTATGTTTTTTTCCATTTGTTGTAATTTGGAAGAAACTTTTTAATTGTTCTTGCTTTTCATCAATGGTGAAACTTGAAGAAAAAAGAAGTATGAAGATGAAGGTAAGTGGGGTCATTATAAAATAAAGTTAATTTAAAAAGAAAAAGAGAAAAATATAATTTTGAGGATTTCACGCGCCCAGACATGAACAAAAAGCACACACTTTGCCATGTCATTGTGTGGGGTTCATGAGACACACTTTAGCCGAGAAGAGGTATCTCTCTGGTCATTAGTATAATTGAAGTGTCCATCTGACCGTTGAGGACAACTTGAAGGGATTGTTTATGTATTTCGCCTTTTAAATATACTCCTATTAAACTTCTTGAATATGCATATTTTGCAAACAAGCTGATTTTTAAGAAGTTGGACCTGAGTATTCTTTTCATATCATGTAGGGAAAAATTTCAATTGTTAATTATGTAATTAAAAAATTCAACACACACACAATATATATATATATATATATATATATTAGTGAGTTACAAATGAACAGAGCAAACAAATAAGTATAAATAATTCTCAACGAGAATAAAACCAATCGTGAGTCAATCTATTTTACCTAATATCTGGGAAATTGAAATGCTAGCTTCTTTCATCTTTTTTATTACGGTTTCCCAATAAGTATGATTTTATGGTGTGTTTGGCCAATGACTACAGATATTTGTTGGGTCACTTGTTATTCTTGTCTTATTTTTATTATGGCAAATTTATCAAAACCAATTAACTAAAGCATACTTTTAGAAAGGTCTATATTTGCCTATTTTATTATTCGAAGTTATTCGATTTTGATAGACGTTATACTAACGGTTGGATATTTACAGTTAACAATTTGGCTTACGGGTTATCCAGCTTTTAAATATCTATTTGTTCCATATCAGGTTAGCAGTTATCAATCAGTTTATAGAGTAGAAGGTGATCCATACAATAAATACTAAAAAGTCATTTTGGACAAGATCACATCAATGAAGATGTCGCGCAACTGTACCAAAGAGTTTGCCACAATATTTTGCCAGAATTAGCCATAAAAACACCGAAGAATTTATGTACAAAAATTACTTTTGACTTTGCTGATTTCTCAAAGAATGACTCGGAAACAACCGAAACCAAAATGGAAAAAAAACGTGAAATAAACACCTTTGGCCTTTGTGCAGAGTAGACATAGCAAAAGAGAAAGATTAATTCTCAAGCTAATGGATGCTAAAATTTCTCAGAATAGGGTTAATTGTTGAAAATTTATACGTCGTTTTCAGAATAAACTAGAAATGAGTACTGCTTAGGGATTTGGCCTTTAGGGTTTCTATAGATACTTTATATATAAAGGTAGAAATATAAATACAATTATTCTTAAACGAGGTTAACGATTTATCCAATAAGACGAATAATTCACCACCGCACTGATAGGCCGTTAACTATAAAATTTTAATTCGTTCACCAATCGAATATCCGACAACCCGATACCAATAATCCAATAAATCAATTTTATGATTGTATTATCAGTTACGTATTGATTTATGAATAGCCCTAGTGAAAAGGGATGTACGGATTTGATAATAAATGAACGGATTGATCTAATATATAGTGTTCAATTACAGTGGCCCTCGTAAATCATCATCATATAGCATATATTATATATTATATATCATACTATATTATAACTGGGAAGCCTCTTATTATTTACCCATCAAAAGCTAATTAACTGTTTTGCCCTTTAACCAAAAATTACATCAAAAAAAACTTTTGTACAAAGATGTAATTACACATTTTAACACCAACAACAACAATAACAACAACAAAAACAAAAGGTTTAATTGAAGAAAGACAAATGTGATATCCCTAGCCAGCTTTTATAATGGCCTTTAATTTTCTCTATATTCTAATAAGAAAAAACAATCTCCTAGCTACTTAAACTTGTACTGATTTGCCATCCCGATATATAAACTAAGAATTGTCCCATTTTAATACCTCAACTCATTAGATAAGTATAAAAAAACTCATTTGGCCATAGACCAAACTTATGTGGCAGTGGCATAAATGATATGGTAAAAGTTAAAATTCGTGTATGTGATGGTTTTGATTTAAAGAATACTCCACTAAATACAACAAATATAAATTATTAATGAAATGGAAAAAGTTAAAAAAAAAAAAAGCTTTAATTTCCATCCCCCCCCTCCCCGTTCTTTCACAATATTTCCAGTACAATTTTTTCAATCACCCCTCTCCCCAATCTGCTACTTCAGCTTTGTCAGTTGGGAAAGTTTTTATATATCTTTTTTCTTTTGAAATTGCTGAACTAAAGTTTATATGGTTGCGAAATGTGAAGGGGTTGGAGGTTTGAGTCTTTGAGATTGATGGATTATGTTTTCTTTATTGCTTTTTGGGTCTTTCAAAGAAGGGTTGGGAAACAAATAATGGATACATATAATTGCACAATTAATGGTCACAACTCACATGTCACACCCTTTACCTATTAAGGCGCTTTTCCTTTTAGCTACAATTTCAAACGTTTGATTTATAGCCATGGTGATATCCCTTTTTATTTTATTTTGACCAAATCAGGGACAACAACTTTTACGAGACTACTAATTTTCTGAAAGCGTATCTTGATATTGTTTAGTCAAAAGAAAAATGACATTGTGGGTGTATTATGGAGAGTCTCTCAATTCTGTCCAGAAATTTACAAACTATGAAAGTTAAAATATTGGAGTTGGAGCCACCGAGCAAAACTAATGTGTAACTCCAGATCTATTACATAAATAATATATTCACAAACTATGGATGAATGGGTGATGTAAGTCCGGGGTATCACGCTAACTGGTTTTAACATTGCAATTGAACGGACATCTGGGAAAATTACACTCCCCGTTTTGGACGGTGACGTAACTCTGAAAACCACATTCCACATCATGGACCAAGACACCGAGTACAACGCCATAATAAGATGACCATGGATACATCCCATGAAAGTCGTCCCCTCCAGCTTGTATTAAGTCATCAAATTCCCAACTCCATGAGGAATATTCAGTATACGAGGGGAACATCGCACATTTCGAGAATGATACAACACGACCATCCAACAAAAAAAGGACAAAGAAAAAGAAGCATAGCAATTAGCAAGGTCTAGGTCAGAGCATGATGAGATCAGAGACGACATCAAAGACCCTGATATGGTCGAAGCTGCAGAATCAACCTAGAAGACCTCGACCCCATTCAATTGGATCTCAACCACCACAACAAGTAGGTTATATCGGTTGCATATTTCAAGAACCAAGTAAATTCAGTCAATTCTTAATAGCTAACGTTGATTTATTTGCTTTCAGCCATGCAGATATGCCATGCATCCCAAAGGAAATCATCACACACAAACTGAACGTTGATCCATTCCATCCCCCGGTGAGACATGCC